ACACACACACACACACACACACACACACACACACACACACAGACGTACCTGTAGTCTAAGCAAAGACAGTCTAGCTCCCTTGATATCGTCCCCATCAGCCAGAAATTGGTCATGAGACCCCTCCACATTCTGTCGGAAGCTCTCTGAAATACAAAAAATAAACACATAAAAAGTAGGCTTAGGTTTTTTACATCCACCCACGAAACAATTTAGATCATTTAGGAGGCGGGCTTTGAGGAGTTTACAAGGCTCTTAACACATCTGGTTCGGTCTTGATAGTCTTAAAATACTAATAGGGGCGTTAAACCAATACAAGCAGGATACTTAATTTATTATCGTTTTCTTCAAACGTACGTATTCATAACATCAATAATATCGTCATAGTTTTAGTAGAGTTTTTTCGGCGCTCGCAACTGCATAAGGTCATATGAGCGCCAGAAGATTAGGGGTGTTACAAGAGAGTAACAAACATAAAAAAGAAAAAAAAGGGGAGATAAGGACGATAGATGTTTGACAGGAAAGAAGGAGCAAACCACACCAGAGCACCCGCCAACCACCCGCTTATCATCATTATAAAAAGTTGACCATTTTTTTAGTCATACACAGCTGCATCACTTGCTATACACTCTTAACGCAAAAAGCTGTCTTAATAGCACTATGTTTATTATTGTTTGACTATTGTTATTGTTATTGTTATCATTATTATTACAATTACTATTTCTATTACTATTACAATTGCTGTTATTATTATTATTATTATTATTATTAGTAGTAGTAGTAGTAGTAGTAGTAGTAGTAGTAGTAGTAGTAGTAGTAGTAGTAGTAGTAGTAGTAGTAGTAGTAGTAGTAGTAGTAGTAGTAGTATCGTTTTTCGTCGGCTTATTTATAACGAAATATCGCCAATAATAATAATACTGTCAATATGTCATGGTGAAAATTGTGAGGCAGCGTGGTGGAATCAGGCTCTCGTCAAAATAATGACATCGAAGAAAACAGCTGTTTTCTCCCTGCTTAGCAATTTTTATCAAAATTTTTGTTTTGGCTCAACACCTTTTATGTCCATTTACAAACACATTCCTTTGAGGATTTCACCGAAAACGTTGATCAAAGCACAAAAATATGAATTTACAGTTTCCATGGACTCTCGAATTTTGGAATTTACCAAGCTTTGGAGTCCATTTTCCCGCTAATTTTACCTCTTAAACCAGGTGACCCCCACCTCCTTCAATCCAAAATATCTCCACTCCTATTGAAGATGGATGGGTAGTTTTTTCATTGAAAGCAAGACAAATGAACAAGCTTAAAGGTGATACCAATAACTCAATATGCCTTAAAATTGACGAGAGCCTGATTCCACCACGCTGCCTCACAATTTATTGTGAGTGACACGTGCACCCACTGAAAGGACCCACGGCTACAAACTCGTCACACAAACAGTTATCTCAATTGGGGTCACATCCTGGTTTCAGTTACGTCGTCTTGTGTTTTTCTCAAGACCTCCGCCCCAACACCCCCCCCCCCCCTCATCACTGAACGCATCGCTCTTTTGTCTATCACACGTATACGTGCTTGTACGACACATAGTTTCTCCTACCTTCCCCCGTCCCCCCACCACCTCTTGCACTTTCATACTAGCTCCATCTGTCGATCCCTTCCACTCATTTACACAAGCTTGAAAACACATATTTTGTCCTACCTTCACCCCCCCCCCCCCCCACGCCCTCGCACCCTCTCTCTATTTGTTGATCCCTCCAACTGACTTCTACATGCTTGAAGACACATATTATTTTTGTTCTACCTTCTCCGTCCCCCCTCCACCTCTTGCACTCTACCTCTCGTTCCATCTGTCGATCCCTCTCACCTCTGAAAACAGGTGACCCCCACCTCATTCTTTCGCAAGTATCTCGACTTGTATTCAGGATAAATGGATACTTTTTTCATCCAAATAAAAATAAGTGAACAAGCTTTAAGATGATACTAATAATTCTACATGCCAAAAAAAACTGACGAGAGCCTGATTCCACCACGCTGCTTCACAAATAATAATTCCCAAACTCTGCAAGACAGATGCTCATTGTCGAGGAGAAAAGTAGTTATCTTTGACACACTGGAGAACGTCTTGCTTGAATAGTGTCATTATAATAATGAAACCCCCCCCCCCCCCAAGCAAAACAAAACAAAAAACGCAATAGGGCAAACTGGAAGTAGCCGTTTATAAAGGTGATTGTCTTATACAGGTGATTGTCTTTTACAGGTGATTGTCTCACACAGGTGTTTGTTTATACGAGTGACTGTGTAATACACGAGAATGTCTGATACAGGAGTTTGTTTCATACAGGTGATTGTCTTATACAGGTGATTGTTGTCTTATACAGGTGAATGTCTTACACAGGTGTTTGTTTTATACGAGTGACTGTGTAATACACGAGAATGTCTTATACAGGTGATTGTTTTATACAGGTGACTGTCTTATACAGGTGATTGTTTTATACAGGTGACTGTCTTATACAGGTTTATACAGGTGACTGTCAAATGCAGGTGGTTTTCTTATACAGGTGATTGTCTTTTGCAGGTGATAGTCTTTTACAGGTGAATGTCTTATACAGGTGATTGTCTTATACAGGTGATTGTCTTATACAAGTGGTCGTTTAGAGCAGGTGATTGTCTTCAAATGTGATTGTCTTAAACAGGTGATTGTCTGACACAGGTGGTCGTATAGAGCAGGTAGGGCAGAACCTACCATGATTCTCCCCCAGCACATTGGCGTAGTCCGTGGCAAAACGTTTGTACAGGTGGCTGTCTTATACAGGGGATTGTCTTAAATAGGCGACTGTCTTATACAGGTAACTGTCTTAAATTAGTAAATGTCTTATACGGGTTAATGTCTTATACATGAGGTTGTCTTACACAAATGATTGTCTTTTATAGGTGATTGTCTTACACATGTGGTTGTCTTATATAGGTGTTTGTCCTACACATGTGGTTTGTCTTACACATGTGGTTGTCTTATACCGTACCGGTGGTCGTATAGAGCACGCTGGACTATACCTACCATAATTCTCCCCCAGTACATTGGCAAAACGTTTATACAAGTGAATGTCTTATACAGGGGATTGTCTTATACAAGTGAATGTCTTATACAGGTGAATGTCTCATACAGTACAGGGGGTCGTATAGAACAGGTTGGTCAGTACCTACTAGAATTCTCCCCCCAGTACATTGGTATAGTCGGTGGTGAAACGTTTGTGCAGGTGGTTGTCTTATACAGGTGGTTGTCTGATACAGCACAGGTGGTCGCATAGAGGAGATCGAACAGAACCTACCATAATTCTCCCCCAGTACATTGGCGTAGTCCGTGGCAAAACGTTTGATGACAGCGTACACGGCGTTGGGGTGATTCAGGTCACTCCTCACCTCTGACCTCTCACGCATGCGTACGTCTCGGAGCCGGTCTGTATAGAAACTGTGGACAGGGGAAAATAGGTTTTAAAGACATAATTCAAAAAATTATTTTAGAAAATATTATTATACATATACTTATATATATATATATATATATATAAAAGAAAGGATCAAATACAAAGCTGCCGTTCTCTGTTTTAAATGTATAAATGATAGTGCACCATTTTATCTTAAAACATTCCTTGAATTATATCATCCACCTAGAGCCCTTAGATCAGCCTCTGATAATCTAATTCTTTAAACTCCACAACAAAATTACAAAACATACGGCGAGCGTTCCTTTTTATTCTTTGGTCCCCAGGTATGGAATGAACTCCCATATAAAATCAGATCTGCACCAACAATTTCCATTTTCGAAAATCAGCTGAAGCATTTTTTATTCACAAAAGCATACCTGTCATAATGATGTACTGTGATGTATTTATATAAGCATGTGTATGCCAGACTGTGAGACTGAAGAAATAGCGTGTGAGAATGAGAGAGAGAAAGAGAGAGAGGTGGAGAGAGAGAAAGAGAGAGATAGAGAGAAGAGAGAGAGAGAGATAGATAGATAGATAGAGAGAGAGAGAGAGAAAGAGAGAGAGAGAGAGAGAGAGAGAGAGAGAGAGAGAGAGAGAGAGAGAGAAACGAAATGCTTTTCTATCTGTATATAATGAATGTTTCTAGTTACTCACGTTTGAACTTTATTGTGACCGTTTGTGAATTTTTACAGCAGTGTATATTTTTAGTGAACACATTTCCTCACTGCGAGACTGTTTTTCTCATAACATAAATTTTTACACATATATACATTTATATTATATCATACGCATGTATGAGCAGTATAATAAATGTTATTATTATAATAATAATAATAATAATAATTATTATTATTATTATTATTATTATTGTTATTTGTGCATGTGTGCGTGTCTGTGTCAGTGTCTCTGTGTGTGTGCACGCGCGCTCGTGTGTGTGTGTGTGTGTGTGTGTGTGTGTGTGTGTGTGTGTATGTGTGTGTGTGTGTATGTGTGCGTGCGTGCGTGTGTGTGCGTGCACACCCAAGAGCACATGCGCATGTGTGGGTATGTGTTTGTGTATGTTTGTGTGTGTGTGTAAAGTGTTGACTGCATTTAAACAATAAGAACATCTTCTAACACGCGGTACATAATATCTTCTTACAAGCGGTGTATTGTATATATTCATCATTGAACTTACTCAGAGAACGTTTTCAATCTCTCGTACTGGTAATCGATAAAGTTTTTGAACTCTCGCAGCAGAACGTCCTCCTCCATGACCATCCGCTCGACCTTGAGCGATGACGTGAAGATCTCTCCTGTGGTCAGCGGGAGCAATGTGGCGAGGAAGACCGCGAGGAGACCCACACACAAAGGGACTGTGCTGGTCATCGTGTTTGTTGGGAAGGATTCTGGGGGTGAAAAAAACCCACACATTTTAATCAGACTGTCCTTCTTTTTTTTCACAAAATTATTTCAATAGTATGCGAGGCTGTGGGGGCTTTTGAAAATTTCATAAACAGAAAAGAAATCTACAAAGAACTACAAAGTACTGAAACAGGTCCACCCAAAACAAAATAAATCAAGAAGCAACAAGTAATTGTGAGGCGTGCTGACAAAATGAGTTACTTCTCGCAGTCCACAAATGGAGATGTTGACCAAAAACTGACACTATAAGGTCAAATTTGTAAATTTTCTATTGATGCCATATTCTTTAAGTATAACACTCCTTTTGTTTCATACTTATAAATTGTAAAAACTTCACTTATAAGTGTGATGTGTCTATTTCCTTAAGGCCTGAATCCGAGAAGTAACTCATTTTGTCAGTACGCTTCACAATTGATTTCCTAGGACACCTGGCTCGACAAACAGGGTGTGATCTCTCGCTCTCACCGGGGAAAAACCCAGGAAGCAAATGAGGTAGGGGTAGATTCAGAAAAACACATTTCCCAGGAACATAATATAATAATATGGGTTTTTTTTTAGCTTTCGAGCTGAGAAATGACTGGAGAACATGGTCACCGATGTCTGTTTCAGATCTTGCTCTCCGAGATGATGGATGATGATGTTGTTGTTGTTGTTGTTGTTGTTGTTGTTTTTTGGTAGGAGTTGAACTGCCTGTTGTACCCGAAGTTCTCGTTCTAAAAGATGAGGGCTCTTTTTACGAAGGAAATAGCAATAATTAAGAGCAAGGAAGACGATAAGAAGAACACAAATTTCCAAACAGTTTTCCTTTTTCACACATTTCTTATTTGTTACATTGTTGAGGTTTTTTCTGAAAATATAACATTAATTGTGAAGCAGCGTGGTGGAATCAGGCTCTCGTCAATTCTTTTGGCATGCAGAGTTATTGGTATCACCCAAAAGCTTGTTCACTTGTCTTTATTTGGATGAAAAAATATCAATTTATCTTGAACACAAGTCGAGATATTTGCAAAAGAATGAGGTGGGGGTCACCTATTTTCAGAGGTAAAATTTGTGAGAAAATGGCCACTAAAGGTTAGTTATTTCCTTAGCTTAAGAGTCTGTGGTAACTAAAAATTTACATTTTCTGTGTCTTTAATCAACGTTTTTCAGAAAAAATCCACACATAAATGAGTTCTTTAATATGCATGAAAGGTGTTGAGCCAAAAAACAAAAATTTTATAAAAATTCACAAACCTGCGGAAAAATGCAAGATTATTCATTTTGATTATTTTGACAAGAGCCTGATTCTACCACGCTGCCTCACAATTACTACCGTGGTGACATGTTTTCTGTGTCACTCCCAGATACCCGAGGGACACGGGGCAAACAAATGTCTATGCAAAATTAAAAACCCGGTTAGGTCAGTTACGGGGTGCAGCCTCCGATTTGAACCTTTATCTCCCACAGGAAGCAAGACGAATAATAATAATAATAATAATAATAATAATAATAATCATAATCATAATCATAATCATAATCATAATCATAATCATAATCATAATCATAATAATCATAATAATCATAATAATTATAATCATTATCATTATCATAATAATAATAATGGTAATAATAAAAATAATAATAATACAATAATAATAATAATAATAATAATATATTATTATTATTATTATTATTATTATTAAACAACAATATCAATGATAATAATAACAATGGAAGCTTCTGTCGGAAATTAAAATTTAAATGTATGGCAAAAGAGCCAGAAGAAAAAAAATGGCCTGGCGTCATGTACAATCGTTGAAATAATGAAACAATTTGGTTCTCTGTATGTATGTATAGTATAAGGTTTTACGGCGCTCGCAACTGCTAAGGTCATATGAGCGCTTTTGTTCTCTTTCCTCTTATGATTTGCTGTCTGGCCAAAGAGTATCTGAACAGATTGCAGGCAAAAAGACAACGTAGAACAAAATGAAGCATGGAAGATTTAATGTGTGTGTGTTTTTGTTTGTTTTGTTTATATGTGAGGCAGCGTGGTGGAATCAGGCTCTCGTCAATTTTTGGGCATGTAGAGTTATTGGTATCATCTTAAAGCTTGTTCACTTGTCTTTATTTGAATGAAAAAAAATGTCCATTTATCTTGAATACAAGTGGAGATATTTGAGAATGAAGGAGGTGGGGGTCACCTGTTTTCAGGGGAAAAATTAGGGAAAAAATGGCCGCCAAAGATTAGTTAATTCCTTAGCTTAAGAGTCCGTGGCAACTGAAAATTTACATTTATTGTACCTTTATTAATCCACACAGAAATCAGTTTTTTAATGAGCATGAAAGGCGTTGAACCAAAAAACAAAAATTTGATAAAAATTCAAAAACCTGCGGAAAATTGCAAGTTTCTTCACTTTGATTATTTTGACGAGAGCCTGATTCCACCACGCTGCCTCAGATATTGTCTTCCACTATCGATCGTGTGTTGGGGGATGAAATATTCATGCTTCTGCCTAAACATTTGAGCTTCAGTAAGGTCTTGTAACACCCGTCTGGTTCTCGGGGCCCTGTCCAAGAGACAGGGGAGCAAAGAATAGGACCACTGTATCCGTACCGCGCATGTCGTAGAAGGCGACTAAGGTCGGTTTGGCAAAGGGTCAACAGGTCTTTCCCGTAAAACAAAAAGCAGCTACAAAAACATCAACAGCAAAAACAATACGACCGCCAGTTCTGGAAGATGGGGGACCGTCATCACCGAGGAAGACCAAAGATGACATGGAGGCGAGCGGTACAAGCGGAAATTGAAAAAGCGGGGACATCATGGAAACAGATAGAAAAGGATGCTCAGGACAGGCTTCGCTGGAGTAATGTTGTTGATGGCCTGTGCTCCACTGGGAGTTAAAAAGGGCAAGAGAGAGAGAAGGTCTTGTAAGAGTTTTACGGCACTTGTAAAACAAATAATAATTGGTCATACAGGTATCTAAGAGAAGGCGTGTTATAGAGAGTAACATATAGAGAACAGAAGGAGGAGAGATAAGAACGATAAACGTTTGATAGGAGAGAAGGAGGAGAGATAAGAACGATAAACGTTTGATAGGAGAGAAAGGGGAGAGATAAGGACGACAAACGTTTGATAGGAGAGGAGGAGAGATAAGAACGATAAACGTTTGATATGTGAGAAGGGGGAGAGATTAGGAAGATAAACGTTTGATTGGAGAGAAGGAGGAGAGATAAGAACGATAAACGTTTGATTGGAGAGAAGGAGGAGAGATAAGAACGATAAACGTTTGATTGGAGAGAAGGGGGAGAGATAAGAACGATAAACGTTTGATAGGAGAGAAGGGGGAGAGATAAGAACGATAAACGTTTGATAGGAGAGAAGGAGGAGAGATAAGAACGATAAACGTTTGATAGGAGAGAAGGGGGAGAGATAAGAACGATAAACGTTTGATAGGAGAGA